TTACTTAGCTGCAAAACCTGGGGTATACCCAGAAGCTATCTCCAGTGCGAGCCTCTCGATCAGAGTAAGCGTCTGGTCCTACAGGCCTACCCACACATGAAGTAGGTACGCAGTAGTCACAGGAGCTTCTAAGGGGCTCGGCCGACAAGTCGCACTTAAGCTGGCGAGAGATGGATGGAGTCTTGTTCTTGCGGCGAGGAATTCTGAGCTTCTCGACGATCTCAAAAAGAGTATAGAAAGCTCATATGCAGGGGAGTGCAAGGTCGTATAGGGAACGCTTACTAATCGGGTACATTGGAGTTTAACACGTTTTACGTGAAGTGGAGTGATACTCCATGTGTAAAACGCGATATGAAGTGAATTGACAACTCACTATATTTCACGTAAGATACACATTACTTATTTTACGCGTTATTCATCGCTTACATGCGTTTTTCGTGAAGTGAAAATATGAAAAAATTTCACTAGTGTTTTTCATATCACGGGTGAAACTACTCCATCGCTCAACAGGTTATTACTGTTCCCTGTGACCTAGCCAGTGAAGACGGTCGTAGTGCTCTTGAAAGGATCGTAGAGGATCTCCCTATCACCCTAGTGGTTCTCAACGCTGGAGGTGCTTATACTAGAGATTTGGTCAACGTTTCTAAGGAGAAAGTACGCGATATGTTGGGTAATGATTTCAGTCGCCTTTTGTTGGATAGGAAATTTGCCCCCAGGTATCAACGTAGAGCAACAGACCTTCCTTTCACAGTAATAAGACTTGGAATTAGTGTTGGAAAATATGCATATGACATTATGAAAATTATGAAGAAATTCTTATTGGTTTTTGTACAGTTCTACCCGATTTCGTATAAAAATTCCTATAATTAGCTTTGGGCGCTCTTGTGCTCAGCTGAGGAGAGCGAACGTATATTTTTGCAACACTGTAGTTTCACCCGTTTTACGTGAAGTGGCGGCGTAAAACTCGGTGAAAAACGCGATATTCGCGGTGATATGCAGTAGTCGTGAAATATGTTTTTCACTATTGTTTTTCATATCACTAGGGTAAAACTCCACTGCTAGAATTAGTCTATATGATGCTGTTGCGATTATTAAAATTCCAAGCTGATACTACGGGAGTGCTACATCAAACGACTCCAGCACGATGATCTCGACAACTCTCCCAACACGACTAACGAGTCCGTAATAGCCAATGAGCATAGCATGTTTGCAGGTATTTCCTGACTGAACATTTTGTTCCGAAGCAACGAGGACGACTTTGCCTCGTCAGTTCTATTGTTGGTGAATCACTGGGCAGTGGCAACTCTCTGTAGGGCAGCAGCCTCTCTGTCTGTGTCGTAGTATGTGGCTTCCTTCTAGGTATTTCAGTGCTAAGTCTTATCTCACTCAATTCGGCCGTTCACTAGCACACGAATGTCGATCTCTGGGATGTGGAGTGTTGACGATTCAACCAGGTACCGAGTCATGCATGGCT